TCCATGATCTTTGACTGATTTGTGCCACATACTTCTCATTCTTATTCAAACGGTATTTATGGTCTTTTGCAGATTTTTTGTCATCCGAGCTATGATACTTATTATTGGATTTTCTTGAGCTCATGTCCAACTCTCTATTGTCAGATTAATATAGTATTGTCTACTTTGAAACTAAAATTAATTTAATTTTTAAAATATTTCATATTAATTAGAGCTGGATATCTTATTATATATATTAAACATTACTTATCTTAATTTCCGATGTGAGATTTTGATTGACATCTCGGAAATCTCAACACGATTCATCTCTCTCTCTTACTTTACGTTTCCAAGCCACAATGCACTCTATTTGGCGTGAAAGCAATAAGAAAAATTATGGAGAATCACCTAAGCCAGCTTTTACAATAATTTAACTAATGGACAAAACTGGTCTGAAGCATTACTACGACTATGTGATGCATGGTTACTTTGTTTGCACAAGATAACAAGCGATTTTAGCAATACTTCATAGTTTTGAAATTTGTTTTTGGTCCAAAAGTGTGAATAAATTTAACATTCTTTCACAAAGACATATAGTCATGTTCAGCTTACCTCGCTCGTGTGATTCACAAAAGGATAACAAATCCTATCATTTCACTCCAACATGAACCAGAAGATAGGGACATCACATTCCTTTCACGCTGGGATCACCATCGTCACATATTTAGTTTTTCCTCTGCTTAGTAATGAAAAAGTCTTTTCTGTTTGTTCATGTTTGAATTTTCTCAAAATCTTGTAACAGAAACATAGTCGACAAAAAAGCTTAAAAAATAAAATAAAAGAAAGCAAGTTTTTCAAGTGAAAACCATTTTCATTAAATAATCTATTATTTTCATTAATAATTTTATAAAAAGTGTATCTCAAAGAGACCAAGTCATGATTTTCTATGTATAGCATAAATAAAATAAGGCAAGATATACTTGATTGTTATAAAATTATTTTCGTAGTTCTTTATATTTCTTCTGTTTGATAAAAGGTGTCACTTAGAAAATTTTCACGCTTATTAACAATGATTAAAACATATTTTTTTTCATTAATTAAATCTATTTAGTCAATAATATTTGAAATACATAAATTTATTTATAAGATCAATACATTTTGTGATTAATATTAAGCTGAAAATAAATATAAATTATATTAGAATTCTAAAATGATAAATTTTTTTGTAACAGAAAAGATATCAAAGTGACTGTTTAATTAGAAACAAAGTAACTTTTCTCACTAACAATTCGAGTGGTTGCAAATATTTTGAATATGTAGTTTGGGTTTGAACTTGTTAAACTTTAGGGTTTATCCAACTATTTTGATATTTAAAACAATAAGCCCAAAAAAATCATAAAAACTTTATAAACAAAAAGCCCATAAGATAATAACCAAATCAAAAAATCAAAAATACATGATAGCTGGGTGGTTTGAATCCACGATCTTGTATGCTTAATTGGACACCTTATACCACTTGGCTAAATTGTATTTCATTGTTCATAATCATCTTACCAAGACTATGAGTTTTTTAAAAAATACCTATGGACCCCACAAAACTGCTGACGTGGCGCGTTGTGGAGCCTAGAAACTCTATTATTATAATATACATTTATATCTAAATTAATTATTATGAAATAAATATCCTAACTTAAAACTAAAGAACTAAATAATCAATTAATTGTTAAAAAAACAATGAATTCAGTTTATATTAACACTAAAGTTAAGTAGACAATTAATTATATTTATGTTTGGGAGTTGAGGTAGCCGTTAGAATACGGATTAAATATTTTGGATTATATATGGTTCTAATTTATATCATATCTTAGGCCTCATTCTGATAAATTTGTAAGTACATACGGTTTCAGATATATAACTCTTTGGTTTGGTTCTAATTCTTATCACATCTTAAAATTCATAAGTAACCATATATTGTTGGAACTCATGTTATATTAATTTGGTTTGGATATATTTGAAGTCAGATCTAAAATTTAAAAACAAAACATAAGAAATAAATACTTATCTGTAATGAATTAGATATTTAAGATACTCAAATTTAGACTTATTTCTATATAATATTTTAAAATAAATATAAAATTAAATATTAAAGTATATATTTATGTTTCAAATATTTATATCTTATATATTAAAACAGAAGTCACAACTTCAATTCATGTGTGATTTTTTTTAAAAAATAGATCATTTCTTAGAAATTTATTTAAATAAATTTTTGTATAATGTATATATTTGAATTTTTCATTAAAACAATCAATTTTTAAAAAAGGGATTGTAGAATCACTTTCGTATTTTTTTAAAAAATATAAATAATCTAATATTTGTATAAAATTAAAATAATCACCCGGACGGTTGTGCGGGTCAAGATCTAGTATGTAATTAATTTGGACATTCCAATCTATTTTTGGGTTTTCAGTTTTTCAGACTATTCGTTTGAGTTTGATTAATTTCTTCAGATTCGGATATACTACTCTACAAAACTTATTTTGATATTTCTACCGGGTACTGATAATTTTTTTTCTAATTTGGGTTTAGTTCGGACTTCAGATTCAAGATTTTATGCTCATACTACGATTACCACCGTTTGTACCTATTAGGATTCAAATGATGAAGCCATGATCATCAAACCTTCTTCTTTGCTCAACTCAACCAAGACCTTCAACTCTCTCATCAACCATCTCTCATCTCATGGGGCCCACCACCAAGTCCTCTCCACATTCTCCTCCATGCTCGCCAACAGATTCCTCCCCGACGCTTTCACTTTCCCTAGTCTCCTCAAAGCCTGCGCTTCCCTTCACCTCCTCTCCTTCGGTCTCACCATTCACCAGCAGGTTCTCGTCAATGGGTTCTCTTCCGATTCCTACACTTCGTCTTCACTCGTCAATCTCTACGCAAAGTTTGGAGTTTTGGGTCATGCACGGAAGTTGTTCGACGAAATGCGTGAGAGAGATGTGGTGCACTGGACTGCAATGATCGGGTGTTACACACGTGCTGGATTTGTTGGAGAAGCGTTCTCTTTGGTTAACGAGATGAGATTTCAGGGGATTAAACCGGGACCGGTTACGTTGCTGGAATTGCTGAGTGGTGTTACGGAGATTACGGAGTTACAGTGTTTACATGCGTTTGCGGTTGTTCATGGGTTTGATTGTGATGTAACTGTGACAAACTCTGTGTTGAATTTGTACTGTAAGTGTGACTGTGTCGGAGATGCTAAGGTTTTGTTTGATCAGATGGAGAAGCGAGACATGGTTTCATGGAACACAATGGTTTCAGGATTTGGTTTCGTTGGTGATATGTCTGAAATCTTGAAGCTTTTGTATAGAATGAGAGATGTTGGTTTAAGTCCTGATCACCAGGCGTTTGGGGTTTCACTTTCCGTTAGTGGAAAAATGTGTGATCTTGACTTAGGGAGAATGTTACACTGTCATATTGTAAAAACTGGTTTCGATGTAGACATGCATCTCAGGACGGCGTTGGTTACAATGTACGTAAAGTGTGGAGAGGAGGAAGCTTCGTTTCGAGTGATGGAAACAATTCCTGAAAAGGATGTTGTTTGCTGGACGGTCTTGATATCAGGACTTGTGCGGTTGGGTAGAGCTGAAAGGGCTATTAGTGTTTTTTCAGACATGTTACATTCGAGAACAGAATTATCGAGTGAAGCGATAGCTAGTGTTGTAGCAGCTTGTGCTCAGTTGGGTTCTCTTTATCTCGGAGCTTCAGTTCATGGTTATGCACTGAGGCAAGGGTATACATTAGACACGCTTGCGTTAAACTCGCTTATTACAATGTATGCCAAGTGCGGTCGTTTGGACAAATGTTTAGCTCTTTTTGAACAGATGGATGAAAGAGACTTAGTTTCTTGGAATGCAATTATCTCTGGACATGCGCAGAATGGAGATTTGAGCAATGCTTTGTTATTGTTTGAAGAAATGAAGTTTAAAACTGCACATAGAGTTAATTCGTTGACGGCTGTTTCCCTTTTACAAGCTTGTTCATCTGCTGGAGCCCTCCGGGTCGGGAGACTAATCCACTGTGTTGTAATCCGAAGCTTGGTCAGGACCTGTACATTGGTTGAAACGGCTCTAGTTGATATGTATTTGAAGTGTGGCTACTTAGAAGTTGCAAGTAGGTGTTTTGATTCGATATCGCGTAAAGATTCTGTTTCATGGGGCACACTCATTGCAGGTTATGGTTTTCATGGTAAAGGGGAGACTGCTTTGGAAACTTACTCAGAGTTTCTTCGATCTGGAATTGAGCCGAACCACTTGATTTTTCTAGCGATTCTCTCATCTTGCAGCCATAATGGAATGGTTCAGCATGGCTTGGAGATATTCAGTTCAATGGTTAGAGACTTTGGTGTTGAACCGAGTCACGAACACCTTGCTTGTGTCGTTGATCTTCTGTGTCGAGCTAAAAGAGTAGAAGAGGCTTTCAAGTTCTACAAAGAGAAGTTTGAAAAACCATCGATGGATGTCTTGGGTATAATACTTGATGCTTGTCGTGCAAATGGGAAAACAGAAGTGGAAGATGTAGTTTGTCGGGATATGATCGAGTTGAAGCCAGTAGATGCTGGACATTATGTCAGGCTTGCACACTCTTTTGCCACCATGAAGAGATGGGACGATGTGAGTGAGTCATGGAAGCAGATGAAGTCTCTCGGCTTGAAAAAACTGCCGGGATGGAGTAAAATCGAACTGAACGGGAGAACAGCAACGTTCTTCATGAATCATACTTCACATTCAGATGAGACTGCGTCTGTGTTGAACTTTCTTAGCAAGGAAATGAAACAAATCAAATACGTACTTAATTGTCATAATTTATCATTCCATATAAGTAATTGCTAAAAATAGCATCAACTAATACGAGAAGTTAGGAAGGATCCAATACTTGGGGAGGAATTTTAAGGGAGATCAGTTACTCTCAGATTTAAACTTAAGTGAAAAAATATTTGATTTGCAGAGAAAAAGATGCCCAGAAGGCAGAAGAAGACAGCTAAGGTAGTTACAGGAGTGATGGCACTGTGCATGGTTGTTTACATCACAGGACCGTCTCTGTATTGGCACCTTAACGAAACCATTGCGGAGTCTTTCCACTTCTCTTGTCCTCCTTGTCTCTGTGACTGTTCTTCTCAGCCTCTCCTCTACATCCCTGAAGGTAATCGTCATCATCATTCTCTTCTTCTTTTGCAGGTATTTACAAAAAAGGATTATTAATGTGTTTAATGTTTCTTCTGCAGGATTGAGCAATCATAGTTTCTTGGGTGAGTGTTTTCTGCCAATACCTTTGATCAATGTTCAAGAAATAATTAGGCGGATTAATGAATTATTGATTTAATTTGTATATATGTTACATTTATATAAGATATTTTAGTTTTTATCTTATACTATATTCGTCAACAAAAAAAAAGAGAAATTTGTGAATTTATACTAACATTATTATTTAATTTAATAGATTTAAACTAATATAGACTGATTAAACCAATTTAAATTTGTTTAAATCGATTTAGAATAGTTTAAACGGATCTAAACCAAATCTGGTTTTATGAAAATATTTCAGCGGCCTAGGCGCTAAACCGAATTTTAGAACTTTGCCTTTGATATAGAGACCTAAAATACTTATGTTTGTATCTTTATTTCATTGTCAAGATTGTATGAGACGCGAGGAAGGGACTGAAGAGAACGAGAGTAGTTTCACGGATATGGTGGCTGAAGAGCTGAAGCTAAGAGAAGCACAAGCTCAGGAAGACGAATGGCGTGCAGACAGGTTGCTGTTAGATGCTAAGAAAGCAGCGTCTCAGTATCAGAAAGAGGCTGATAAGTGCAGCATGGGTATGGAGACTTGTGAGCAAGCAAGAGAGAAATCAGAGGCGACCCTTGACGAGCAGAGAAGACTATCTTACATGTCGGAGCTTCAAGCTCGGCAAAGCGGATGGAAAGAAACACCTAATGTCGTTTCCTCTGATCTATCTAACTAGTGGCGGATCTACGTTAATAACATGACCAAATCACAATATCTCAACTGGTGAAACTCCTTTCCTTTGACACCTTTTTTTTCCGAATTCGATTCCACTTTTACCTTTTTTATTTAGTTTCTTTTCCTTTTAGATACGGGCCAAAAGTCCATTAGAAATTTTTTTTTTGGTCTGAAATAAATCTATTTTTGTTTGGGCTGAACCTATAAATATAATTTTGTTATTTGTTTTATGGGCTTTTTAAATTTACATTTAATATATTTGTGTTTGTTTATATTAAAAGTATAATATTTTAACATTATTGATACTATTATCATTTTTCATTGAATAATAACATTATTTTTATTTAATTTTAAATTAATAATATTTTATTAAAAGAATAATTAAATTTATGACATCGGTAAAAAAAATTTCTGGATCCGCCATTGTATCTAACAATCTTTTTTTATTGTTTCTATATATCTGAAACTCCACTACAGAGATTTTGAATTTAGCACAAAGAGAAAATGTTGCCCATTCAATGCCGGTCCAACATCTTATAATGTCCCAAGCCAATTCAAAAAATCATGCTCTTATATTTGTCAAACAACTATTCCCTTATATATAATTCAAAGTCATATAAAAAGAGTAATAAAAAGTTAAACTTCCATAAAAAAATGAAATATCAAAAATGTTGTAAAAAAACAAAAACAATAGAATCAAAGATACTTATTACTGAAATATTAATCTTCTTGCATTTTTTCCTGCGAAATCATTCATTAAACTCATGTTGTAAAGTCTTTCAACCATAGCCGTCTCAATTGATTACAGAGCCAACCCATTCAATCTCTCTTGTGACATGGTAGACCGCAAATAGTTCTTTATCAGTTTTAACTTCGAAAAACTTCTTTCAGCTGTTCCAACCGATACAAAAATCGTCAATAATATGCGATAAGCAATTTCTGTGTTTTGATAGCAATCCTTCATTTTCTTCAAAAAATCAAGCACCTAATAGGCTTTCGAACTTCCTCTGGTATTGATCTAGGAGAATCTTTAACTCCACAAATAAATCATCACCAATTATATCTGAATGCATACCATTCGTCAACGAAGATTCTAGATTCAAACATGATGTCCTCAGATTATCTTCACTTACAGCTGTTAATTTTTTTAAATCAAACAGAGATCCAAAAGTTTGTTCATACCTTTGGAATTGTTCAAACCTTGACTCAAGAGAAACAGAGAGCTTGGTCCATGAGTGTGTTGAAGTACCTGAAACTCTCCTCTTGTGATAGTAACATATTCTCATCAACTATCTCTGTATCTTCATCATAGTGATTTTTTCTCCTTATAATACGCTTTTGTTTCACAGGAAATCCAGCTTCGATCTCCATATCAGCTGAAATTTGTCCAGCCTTAGTTTTTGCTTCCTCGAATCATGTGTCCCGATATTTTTGGAAATAGGACACAAGACCTTTCAGATGGTGAATCGCAGCATCAATATCAATATTTTTTGATTGCAAGCTCTTGCTTACAGTGTTGACAATCGAAAGAAGGCCATACCAAACAACATGCCAAATAAAAACTCAAAACCTCCAATTCCATGTGTTTCACTTAAAGCAAGTGATTCAGCACAACTTCGTGTTGCTGGGTCATCAGTACTTTCAGCCAAGCAAAGTAATGCTTCTCTGATTTCTGAAGCTTGAAATCGTATTGCTTTGACACTTTCAACATGACTTTCCCAATGTGTTTGAGACAAAGATTTAAGGGTTAATTTTTTAACAGTGCTTGTCAGTATGTCCCATCTATTTGTTGAAGAAGCAAATAAGCAATATATTCGTTGAACGATTCCAAAAAAGGACACAGCTTTTGAAGAAGAAGTTGCTATATCACATAGCACAAGGTTGAGACTATGGCAACCACATGGTGTGAAGAATGACCTTGGATTAATTTCTAACAACCTTTTCTGAACTCCTTTATTCTTTCCTTTCATATTAGATCCATTGTCATATCCTTGTCCTCTCACATCACCAATATCTAACTCTAGCTCAACCAATGCATCTTGGAGTGAAGTAAAAAACCCTTCTCCCGATTCATCTTTGACAATCAAATATGTCAAAAAGAATTCCTCGACTTTGGTTGACATTGTAGAAACATCCACACATTGGATAACCAAAGTCATTTGTTCTTTGTGACTAATATCTGGAGTACAATCAAGAATTATGGAGAAATACTTTGAATCATGGATCTTCTTTTTGATCATAACTTTGATCTCCTTAGCAAACATTTCAATCATCTCATTCTGAATCTTGTGACTAAGATAATGCACATAGATTTCTTTTTTCTCAATTCGCCTAACATGCTCTCTCATCACTGTATCAAACTCAGCAATCATCTCAATAAGACCCAAAAAATTCCCATTACTTGTTTCACCAAGTTTTTCATTAGCACCACGAAATGCCAAATTTCTTTGAGCTAGAGTTTTCACCACTGCAAATATTCTCAACAATACTTCTCTCCAATGATTTTTCTCCCTGTTCAATTCTTCTTGAGCATGCTTATCAATTGTCTGATTTTTTTTGTAATCTCAACTCCAACTCTTTCCAACTCTCATGCATATCACATGATCATGAGAAACTTCGTGATCAAGATGGAGACCAGCGTGATCAAAACAATTTGAAGTGATTCATGTCAGAACATAAGATCGAATCAAAACTGTGATCACCAAGATCATAGACCGGCTCTCGCACATCCCTATAGGATCTAAGCTTATGCCAAATGATTTCAGGACAATGATTAACAAGTTAAATCACATCCATTATCATACTCTAGTTAGCTACTCTAGAGTAAGCATTAGGGTTCATTTGGATAATGAATATCACAACTCAACATTCCATAGTTGGGACTAATCCCTCATAACTATTTGAACCCTAAATCTAACAAAGGAATCTACTCAGACATAGCTAAGAGATTCATAACAACAAGGTAATAATAGAAATTCATTAGATTAGAAGATTGAACTTTTGGTTCTTGGAACAACAAATCTCTTTGTGTATTTCTTCTAAATATAGAATTCTATAACCTTTGAGAATTAAAGATGAAAAGAATACTTTATAAATCAAAGAATATAAAAAGCATGTAAAGCTTTTGAAGTACAAAAAAGCACTAGAAAACAAGAAAAGCATGTCTAGCCAAAACACATAGGCAAAACTATAAATATGAGTTCCATTAGGTTAAAAACTCGTTAGGGGCAATATTGTAATATTGGGAAAATTTGGGCTTCAAGTCGGCCAAGTCGGACTTGTTCTCCATGCTTCATATCGATCGATGGTACATGGCGTACATCGATCGATGGAGTATCTCGACTTCATCTTCAATAGAAGCGTCATCGATCGATTACACAGGGTGTGTATCAATCTATATGTATCCTTGTTGTCTGATCTTCATAGTCATCTCGGAAAACTCTCCTTTAAGCTCCATAGGGACACCTAAATCATCACTTTACTCCAAAATGTTTCTAAACCTGAAAACATACCTAATAGACTCCAAAACATATATAAAACTTATAAAAACATATCAATACCATGGCTAAAAGCAGGTCAAAATCATGGTATATCAACTCCCCCAGACTTAACCTAACCATTAGTCTTTTTGGAAGAAGTTTAAAAACAGTAGGGAATCAATAAAATCTTAACTTTAAAATCATTACCTCTACTTTATTGCAAGCCACATCTGATATTACTAACTACAGAAGTACATTATACCATATCCTAGCTTAGCAACCAAATTCATCTAGCCAATCAACTTAAACAATCGTGTCTGTCTATCCCCTCTACTGATTTCATTTATGCATAAAATAAAGGTGTAGGCTTTACCTTGGGAGTATCGATCAAAGAACACTTGCATTCAACTCAAACAAATTTCAGGCATTCTCATTCTGGTTCCTTTTCTCTCTTTATCTCTCTTCTCTGAATCCCAAACTTTTTTCTTTTATATTAATCCCAATGAACCACTAATGTTCATCTTATTGATCTTTCAACTTTTTTAATCTTTTCTGACAAAGTGTAGGCGAATAGTGGGATCATATGTAATTTACCTCTCCCTCGCTTCCACAATGTGTGATCATTCCTTTGATTTAGAATAGTGGGGTCATGGGTAATGTACCTCTCCCTCCGTCTCTCAGGAAATCATCTCAATCTTTTATTTTCTCTTTATGGGATGCCAAAGGAAGGAGAGAAAGAAACCAAAATTGTTGAGACTTCTACCTTCCAGACTTGTATGAGGATTCTGATCCCTTGTATACCAAACTCCAAGATAAGCAATAGATGTCAGGTTAGGTTGGAATTCAGCTTTGGTTCTTCCAAACAATCATGAAAAGTGTTGTCATAAGATGATCGGTGATCCACTTTAGCATCTATAGTACTTTCTGCAATCAACAATTCTAAGAATGGTGCTAAAGAGTAGTAAGATAAAAAGCAAAATTTTTTTTTTTTTGAAATCTTTTTGTCCCTTTCTTGACTCAATAAAACCAATTTTTGTTCAGATATCGATCCATATCGATCTCTGATTCATCTTTGCCTTTGGTTTCGATACCTGAGGATCCATGACTTGTTTCTATGAGACGATTGCACTCGGCTGCTCTGCTATCTACGCTGAAAACTTCGTTCTGAGCGGATACAAGCACATCTTCCAAATGATCATCCGAGTACAATTTCTCAAAAGATTCTTGGGTCAGTTCATCAATCGCATCGACATGAGGATTGTTTATCTATTAAAGGCAATGTGACGACCTTTTCCATGTCAAATCTCATAGGAATGTTGCTTATGTTAAGATTTATTCGTCCTTCCTTGACATCGATAATAGCATTTGCAGTAGCAAGGAAAGGTCTGCCTAATAGAATCCGATCTCTTGGTTCGTTCTTGTAATGCAGCACAACAAAATCTGTTGGGACAATGCATCCGTCGATTTGTACTGGCACATCCTCGAGTACACCTTCCGGGATTCTAACAGATCTATCCGCGAG